TATCGATGTTCTTAGAATTATTGACAGATGATTTCTTTATAATAAAGAGTATCGATAAGAAAATATTATTCTTTATTTGTCATGTGTGTGATGATATGAGTATAAGTGTGTGAGAATTTATCGCAGGATGAAAGAGAAAGAAATCGTTTCTGTAGACGGAAGTGTGTGTTTTGTTTGTAAGGTGACACCGCTTGGACTTATCGTCTTTTAAGTCTCTCGAATGTTCCCGATCCGGAAGTGCAAGAAGAATCTAGAATTTTTATGATCGTAGGGATTGATTTGGAAGTTTCGAAAATAAATGCAAAGAAATGACGAGAAATGATGGAAGGGGATATTAAGTATATATGAACAACAGAAAGGGCCGATAGGTGCATTCTCATACAGTTCATTGTTAATACAACGAATATTGGGTGTGAAAAAAAAACTAGGAAGACGGAAGACAAAGGAAGACAATAAAAAGGGATACGAAAGACGACGATAGACGATGAAGAATTAAGTACGACGTGTCCTTCGTTAATTACGACGTTATCTTTGAATTATGACGTAGCGAGTAATACCTAACACCACGTGGCGACGATACATTGTCAATTTAGATTATAGATACTTACCATTTTATTTCATTATATCATTAAATCATTATTAAATGTTATTAAACGTTATTAACCATTTGGCTACCAGAAGATCTTCAAAAAACACGATCAAGAAAAGGTGAGTGACGTTAAACCACCGTCAATTATCTGTATCGATGAAATGCGCTTGCATTTTTCGACATGAAATCTGAAAAGCGCGAAAGCAGCCCGTGGTAGCCAAACGGTTAAATAAATAAATTCAATTACTATTTTTAAATAAATCTTATACAGATCTATATCCAATTTGTAATGATTATTTATGAGAGAGTTTAATGCTGTTATGGCATTTTAATATATATTTTTAACATCAATAGGGAAAATATTACAATCAAAGAAAAATTCATAATGTCAGAATGGCCGAGCGGTCTAAGGCGCTGCGTTCAGGTCGCAGTCCACTCTGTGGGCGTGGGTTCGAATCCCACTTCTGACACTTACATTTTTTTTCTTTTTTATTACATGTTTATATATAAATCTCTTTCGAAATGTAACTCTACGTAATTACGTCGAAGAACGATGAAAAAAAAAAAATGAAAAATATATCAAATCACAAAAAACAATGTTTCATTTTGCTAAGAAAACTTACAATCGTATATACGTATAATATTTTAATTGTTTCTATTTTGAAATTATATTTCTTGTGTTTAAAATATTAACACCATTTGATCGAATTTTAATTAATAAATTATGTATTATTAATTCGACTCCTAGATCACAAAATTATTTGTTTAATATGTTTCCCGCGTCTACTGTTCTATTAAGGTTCCATCTATCGGAAGATGATAACAACTTTCACTTGGACCGGTTCGCTGACGAAATCTTCGTAACCTGTTAAAAGAAGAAGGTCGAATTAGATAAAATATATCATTAACTTTTTCTTAAATCTCCCCTTCGTTGTTTGTTAATTAAAAATTAATTAAAGAGAAAGTATATTAAATTCGAGGTTTAAAATGGAGGAAGATAATGAACAAGAAATAATAGTCGAGGATGACTATTACACATTTCTCAACATCCCCAAAAATGTGAGAATAAGTTTAACAATTCCTGTTACTTTGGGACTTCCCGGCGATAAATTATTTACGATCTCTTCACGTGACAGCTTTTAACAATGTTGACGTAACTAAACATGTTTTCTTTTCTTCTTTTTCTTTTTTCTTTATAACATTTATTAACAGTTAAAAAATTCTGTTTAAAAGCCTTTTATTATGGAATCTTGAACTGTGTTACTTTTTATTCGAAAATGCCGGAAATGCCGGTGACAAAAATGTAAAATAATATTAATGACGTAATATGAATGAAACATTTATCTTTATATTTATTTTTCATCTTAGTATTAGTTTTTCTTTTTGCTAAGAAAAAGGTTAATCGCGATGATTAAACTTTTTCAATTGAATTGAAATTATTAACATTTTATGAGTAATGTTTAAGTAATGAAAAAAGTGCTACTTTACAATCAACCAATGACAAACAGCATTTTGTTAAATGTTACTAATTTGATTGTTAGGCTACTCCAGATGAAATTAATAATGCGTACCGTAGACAAAGTAGATTATATCATCCCGACAAGCATGTCGACCCAGTGCTTAAAAAAGAAGCCGAAGTATTATTCAATCGTACAAAAAAAGCATATGAGGGTACGCACTTCAATTTGTTTACATCAGTTAGATGTTTTTATCTGTATTGTGTTATAGATTTAAAGCATTACTTAATAAAATACTTCATTTAATATATTTTCTCCTTCAGTCCTTAGCGATCCTCATAAGAGAGCGATCTTTGATACCGTTGGAATTAAAGGACTGGAAACCGAAGGATGGGAAATTGTTCAACGTACAAAAACACCTTCTGAAATAAGAGAAGAATATGAGCGATTAGAAAGGGAAAGAGAAGAGAGAAGACTTCAAGAACATACAAATCCAAAAGGAAATGTAACTGTGTATATTAACGCTACAGATTTGTTTAGTAAATACGATGAAGATTATAATAATAGGTAGTGAATATTTTCTCGTTGATATTAATTCAATTGTGTTATATATAATAATCAAGTATTTTAAATAATCTTCTAGTTTTGATATATTTTCATCTATTGAAGTCAGCGGAATGTCATTTACGCAATCTATTGAAGCACCTCTTACCTTAAAAGATACCGTAACTTTATATGGTTCATTGGCTACACAAAATGGAACTGGTCATGGAATCATTAATGTTTCTGCCAAAAGATTGATGTCTTCCAAAGGATGGTTGGAATTAGATGTAGGTGCAGGCAATGGTCCGACTATATCAGTAAAAGGATTTCGAACATTAACAAAAAGACTTTTTTGCGATGGTGAAACAACATTACAATTTACAGCGCATGGCGTGAGGCCAAGTCATGTTGGAAGTACGTTTTGCTATTTCTTATATTGATCGTTTCAAAACTTCAGCTTATAGCAATTCTGTACTTTTAAACAATATGAAAATATTTAATCTTTTTTTACAGCTTTAGCTATGCAATTAGATAAACATACAGTTGGATATCTGACGTATAGAGCAGGAATTCAAAGTGCAATGAGTACAATGCTTGTAAGAGATACATCTCGTACTTATATGTCAATATTAATAAACTTAGGCATTGTAAATTCTTACGTTAATCTTAATTATGTATATAAAATGAAAGAAAAGGAGCTCAAAATACGTGGTAATATACGGTTAGTAGGGAAAATTATTTCCATATTTTTGTACCCTTTGTAAAAAACTTAAAGAATATATTTAAAATTATTCTTTCATACAGAATAGGTACATTCGGCGCATTTTTAGAATACGGTCTCGAAAAAAAAGTTTCTTGTCATAGTTCGCTCGCAGCTGCTGTACGAGTTTCGATAACAACAGGAGTTACATTAAAAATAAAATTAAATCGAGCATCACAGACATATGCATTTCCAATTCACATAAGTGAAGAAGTTCTTCCAGCACCTGTTTTCTATGCAACTGTACTACCATTAATAACATGGACTATTGTCAAGAAATTTGTTGTTGACCCGATAGTCAAGGAGAGAAAGGAACGAGATAAAGAGAAACAAAAAGAAATGAATAAAACAAGAATGTTAGAAAAACAGAAAGAGGCTAAAGCTGCTATTGAATTAATGAGAGCTACGTTTAGTAGAATAAGAGCAGAAGAAGAAACCAAAAGAGGATTAGTTATAACTAAAGCTTCTTACGGACGATTTGTTTATCCTTTGCAAGATAGATCAACTGTGGAAGAAACTAGACGTAACAGAGATGAAGTCATAGATGTAACAATTCCTTTGCAGTGTTTAGTAAGAGATTCTAAACTGATTCTTCATGATACATCAAAGGTAATTCATCATTATTTTTTTATCGATCGACTTATTTCTAATTTTCATTTATTCTATTTATAATATATCGTGCATCGTAATGTTGCAGAGTCAGTTACCTGGATTTTATGATCCATGTGTTGGAGAAGAAAAACAACTTTTAATACAGTATCTTTTTCATAATCAAACTCATGAATGTATTATAAAAGATACAGAACCTCTAAGGATACCATTACCTTGTAAGAACTATTTAATTTAACATTACGATAAAATACTAGAAAAATATGAATAATTATTTTCAATATTTTTCAGCACACAAAGTAAATACGACATGACGTACAGAACAAATTGAATATACTAAACGATGCCGTCATATTCTGCATTGGTGACTTTAATCATTTTGACCAGATTTTGTTCAATTTTCAAAAACACAACATCACTTTCAGAAAAACCTACAATTTCATTAATCTTTTGGTAAATACTTTGTATGTTTTTATTTGTTCTTAATAATGATGTTCTTGTATGATGTAGCTATCAGTTGTATTTATTAAGAAATTAATTCCATATATTATTAAGCGAATATGGAAAGCCAATGCACAAAAAATAATTTATCCGCTATTAAGAAGATCGATTTGAATCTACATTATCATTTCGGCATCGCGTAAGATTAAATTTGTACGTAATTATAATATTACTTTTCGTCGAAGCAAAGAACGTAATGACTGCCTTAGAGAAATACGAAAATTTATCAAATATATTCAAATATATGAAAACTTTAGAAAATGGCTGACATTGAGATAATGTCTGGATTAATAAAAAGAAACTAGTTTACGATACCACTGATTAATGTATAGAATACTTCTTTGATTGAAGATAGTATACATATGTAATTATGTAGATAATATTTTTTTTTTGAAATTTATGAAAATATAATAAGCAACAAGAAAGGTAGTATTCTAATAATAATAATAAGAAGAAGAACATAGATTGAATACTACTTATATCAAATAATATTATAAGTTTCAAATAAATCCTACTTTGTTGAATTGATTATGATTTTTAATTGTTTATATATGTTATGTATTTTTTTTTCGTTTTCAACAATTTGTTATTCTAATAATAAACGCAATAATTTATTTAGAAATTATATTAATAGCAAGTGTATCTAAACTATTATTTAATGTTGCATTATTCGATAGAAGTTTATTAAAAATACTTAATTCATTATCTTTACTATGAATATTGGAAACAGATGTCCACGAATGATCCTGTTCTAGTCTGTATGATCCTTTATAAGTTTGAGATGGGCCTGAAGTACCCCATTCCTATAATATACAAATATTAAAATAACTATGACATGCTCCGTTAAAATAGAAATTATTTTGTAATACTTACTTCTGGACTAATCCTAGAAAAATAACATTGACCTGACTCGCGTTCATATAAATGATATACTTGTCCAGGATGTTTTACGAAATTACAAGCGACATGATTTAGTTTCATATTTTGATTAACTTCTAATAAAATATTTTCAGCTTGTTTCCGAAGGAATTTCATTTGTTCTGCAATAACTTGCAACTTATTACATGCGTTAGCTTTGACAAAACTGTCGGCCTGTTAAATAAATACAATTTATTTTTTATATTATATTTTTGTATATTAATAAAAATATATATATATATATATTTTTTTTTAAATAAATACTTTTTGTATTTCTCTTGCTAATACAACCAAGTCTTCCTTTGATGATTTAGTTACAGAATTTGGATCAACCAGTTGTAAACCTTGTGGTGCGTTATTTCGTTCAACAAGGGCTACTATTAAAATATATAATATTAAAATAACAAATATATTTTACATAACCTTAAAAAATAATAATTAATCAACAATACATTTATTAGGTAACTCGTCGCTGTTATCCATTTTTGTAAAAATGCGTTTCATATATATGTCAAAAAAGAAAGAAAGACACACAAATAAATTTCAAATTATGCTAGTTCGTATATATCTTTCTGCGTATAACAATCATCACAACCTCAAAAAATAGTTACGATCTAAGTAACAGAATATTTTCCAACCCTTCGTAAGATTGTAAAAACTGCCTTAACATTATTCAACGTACCAGACATAATTCTTAATTGATTTCGATGAACAAGATTTCATTTGAAAGATAAAGATTTAAATGAAGAGACAGACCTTTCAAATTCTTAAAATATCTTTATTTATACCTATAAATTAATATATCGAAAAAGAAAACAATATTTTTTAAAAAATAAAATCAAGATTTTTTCAAATTCGAAAAGTCTGTTTATTTGTATGAACTTTCATCTTTTAAACGAGACCTTGTTCATTAAAGTCAGTTAAGAATTATACTTGGTACGTTTAAAGGGTGTAAATATTATTCTCAACATTTTGTATATAAATGAATATCCCACAATAACGCCCATAGAAATAGTAGAACAAGCTTTTACCCCTTACTACTGATTTTCATATACACTCTTGAGAGGTGTGTGTTTGATTTCATGAAAACGATCATGTTTTCAGTTGTATGTCAGCCTACTAACACGACATATCAACTTGATTATTAGGTTACATGAGAGAGAGAGAGAGAGAGAGGAATATCCTAAGCAAACATAGAAATTGAACCAATAAACCGCATGGTGGAGACACTGTTTCTTACTTTCGCTTGTAGTTCATATTTTGTTCATAATTATAACTAATGTCACTTAAATATCGAGTGGAAGATGATCAAAAACGTTTATTAAAAATGAAAGTACAATGAAACTACATAGAATAGTCAAACGATATTACTTAATCTTACGACAACGAAATAAAATAAAGTGAGTCACAATCTTGAAATTTATTTTTAAGTGATTCATAAATAATACATATTTATAGTCAGTTTATATATATATATGGATGATACATATTCACATTTACAAAATCAAGAACGAATCAGCTGTTGTGTGTACATAGGTTATATACCATTAAATGATAATGAAAATAATTAACACAAGAAAATGTTAAATAATTAAATTGATATATTAATTTTTGAAGAATTGATTTTATACGAAGGAAGAATAAGTATTTTTGCTTAAATGTTCATATAATTCTGTTAAATATTATTATCAGTTATTAAGAAATCCTTAACAAGGAGGAGACTTCAAAACGTGGAATGGATTATGCAAATGTCGTGGACGAAGCCATCAAGCAGTTTTATGCTAGAGGAAATAATGAAACACACAATTGGTTGCTACAGGTCCAAGCCTCCCCCGAGGCCTGGAGTTTTGCATGGCAACTTCTTGATCCTTCAAAGGTTAATACAAATGATATATGATATACTTATGTTTTAGTATGATTATTGATTAATTATATAATATTAATGATTGCAGTCATGGGAAGTACAGTTTTTTGCTGCCACAACGTTACATGCCAAAATATCTAAACAATGGGAAGAAGTACCTAAACGCGAATATCCAATTTTACAAGAACGTTTACTCAATAGTATTAAGCAAGTTAATACTCCAAAGTTTGTTCTTACGAAACTGTGCCAATCGGTAATTTGTATTATTTTATACTACAGTTTATATAACATATTATAAGGTATTTTCTAAAATACCTTGTATCAGAGCTTCTCAAACTTTTCCATTTACCTGAACAAATATGGTCGTGACTCTGAGTATAGACTATACTATTTTCTTTTTTACTATTATAAAGTTACAGACATGCTATACATGTAATGTTGTTAAATTGGTTGTAAAATAATTTTCGAACGTTGCTTTTACAAGAATTTCTTATTTTTGTTCATTCCTAAATTTAGGAATTACTTTGATAAGTCCTGCTTTATATTATATTAATATAAGGTATTCGTAGAAAATTGATATTTTGTATATATACAAAATTTCTAAAACATTATTCTCTATAACATTACGATTATTGTTTACGTATATTTGATGTGCAATAATAAAAAAAATATGTATTTGCAGTTAGCCGCATTTATGGCGTACAGCTATATCGAACCTGAAAATAGAAACAAGGATAAAATTTTAGTCGAAGAAGTAATGGAAATTTTACCATACGATTCGGCATCTAAATTAGAATTGTTATTAAGAGTATTATCTTATATCCCTGGAGAGGTAATTATAAATCATTTTAACGAATATTATAATGTTTTACATTAATTTATACATTTGTATTATGATCTTATTAGTTCGAAGCAAAACAGAATATAAGAAAAAATGCTAAAATTAGGGAAGGGTTAATTAATAGTTGGGAGAAAACAGTTTGGCTTTTACAACAAGTCTTTGCATCATTTAATCCAATGGCGCAGGACAATAATACATTATATCTTTTGGGAGCAGATTGTACCCTTTCTTGGCTTAAAACTGGTCTATTACCTCTCGAAATAACTGGACAACTTTATCCTTATTTATTAGCTGCTGCAGCAAATTATGCACCACTTAGGTAGATATAATAAATATATATAAACTTCATAAATTATAATGTTAATATAATCAAGATTTTTTTCTTATCCAAAATTTATTAATATTATTACTAAGTTTACTCTTAGGGAAGTTGTTTTTTTGGACGGGTTTAATTAAGATGAACACTATATTTATCCGTTGAACGTTTCGTCTCTATTT